ATGTGATCCTAGGAAAAGAGGATGCAAGTCTGGATTTCTCGGTAAGACCTTACAAAAATACATATTAGTAATTATGCGTTAATAATTAAATCAGAGCTAGCCATTAAGAAACCATAACAAATGGCCAACAGATTTATAATTAATATAGCATTCTGTGTGTTCATTTGGGACTGATGCAGCTCAGGGACCAGGCTACAGGTGCCCACAATGTACGGCATGAATTTCCACATAGAATGGCAAAAACTGAAAAGGGATTTTTGAAACAGAAGAACAGAGAGAAGCACAGCTTCATGGTAGCAGCATTTTCTCGGGTGGGCTCTGTTTTGCGAGAGACAAGCAGAGACTTACATGACCAGTGCTGGTGGTAGACGTCTGCCATCTTGGAAAGACAGCAGTTAAAACAGTCGTGGCTTTGATTTTAGCAATGCTGTTTCGCAGAAAACAGACACGTGGCCAGAAAAACATAAAGATTTACAGTAAAGTCAGATTCAGATGAAGTAAAACCTCTGAAAGGTTTATAGTGTGCTAAAAAAATATACATAGGCTTGGAAGAGAAAAAGGGACAGGATAATGACTGGATGTGAAGGCACAAGTCTTTAATCCCAGCACTCCAGAGGCAGAGGGAGGTAGATTTCCACAGAGAAACCCTGTCTCAGAGAAAAGAAAAATAAATAAAAGTAAAAGAAATAGAGTAATAATAATAAATAGATGTATAAAAAGCCACATAAAGATGGAAAATACACAGAGAGTCTCGATACTGCAGGCTATTGTGTTGTCTTTCAGTTGTTCAATTGCTAAAGCAGAAATAGCAACTGCTAAAATACACTTGATTGTAAACGCTGCTGAATTAATCTAACTTATTTATTTTAAAAATACTTTGACTTCTAAATTTTAAGGACAGGTTACATGGGAAAAGAATTTCTGCTTGTGTTTCCACAGAAAATGTAAAACTATGGATTCCTTCCATACCAGTGTTTTTTGATGAAGCCAGACCCCAGGAAATGGTGTCCCAGGCGATCCAACATCTATGACAGCTGAGATTGTGCAACCTTACAGACAACAAAAAAAGGACTAATCCAGATTAGTCTGCAGGAAGCAGTTTGGAATGAACAACACCCAAATTCCCAAATATTATTTGTAAATGTTTTCATTTAAATGGGGTTGGTTATAAATGGTAATGATCACAGTCAATCTCTTTCTAAAGGGATAAAAGGGAGTATGATATAGAAATGAATACTTTGTATTGGAATGGATTTTCATTTATTAATGTGCATTTAAGATCGATTTTGTGATATATATATATATATATTTCCTCTTGTTTAGGTATTGTGTTTGTATAACTCATTTAAAAATGTAATGCATAATCAAATGCAGATTATAGATTGTTATTTATAATAGTCAGAACTTACAGTTAGGTTAGTTAGGTTTTCTAGAAATACAGAGATGTATTTGAGATGGATAGATATTCTTCAAACCTTTCAAAGACCTACAGAATATATGGCATTTAAATGATTTAGGGTTTTTCATGATAGTGAGATACAACTGCTCCTCACACACCAATTACGTCTGAGAGGAAGATGGGCATCGAAGAACTCATTATGGAGTTTGCTTTCAACATGGCAAGATTACTCATTTGGGCAAGAAACTGCTCTTGCCTGGACCGTTTGACTGTTGCTGTGTAAACTTGACAAGCAGGACCCACAGGAAAGTGACTACTAAATTTACAAAACAAGATGGATAGTCCTAAAGGGTTCTTGCTTCATGGAAGAGTTTGCCAGACATTCTGAAGGATACATAAAAATGACTGAGAAACTTCCAATGCAGGCAGACATTTTAAAATTTCTTGCTTTGCTGAGAAGTCTGCCAGACACACTGTGGCCTATGGACTGAAGATGGATGGCCCAACATTAGTGTTTCGTGTGTTATTTGGGGGCTGAAACAGCTCAGGATCCAGGCAGCTGGTGTGAAGACAACACGTTAAACGGGTTCATTTGGGACTGATGCGGCTCAGGAACCAGGTTAGAGGGAAGAATACATGTTACATAAGGTGTCTGTTCCTCCAACAGGAGTAAATACTGCTTGACAGATTACCGCAGTGGTCATGCTAATTGTCTTAGTTAGGGTTTCTATTGCTGCTAAGAGAAACCATTATCATCACAACTCTTATAAAGAAGACACATTTAATTGGGGCTAGCATAACAGTTTCAGAGGTTTAGTTCATTATCATCATGGCAGGACAAGGCAGCATGCAGGCAGACATGGTGCTGGAGAAGGAGCAGAGAGTTCTACATTTTGATCTGCAGGCAGCAGAAAGAGTCTGTGTACTATACTTGGCATAGCTAGAGCAGAGGAGACCTCAAGGCCTGTTTCCACTTCCTTCAAGGAAGTGTGTTTAACACTTCCCCCAACAAGGCCACACCTATTCCAACAAAGCCATAACTTTTAATAGGGCCACTCCCTTTCAGGGCCATTTTCTTTCAAACAACCACATTTATTTATTTGCTTTAAGTTGCTTCTTATGATGGCCATATTTTTGTTAATATTTGTTGTACTAAATTTAGCTACCATGATGGGCTACAGTTGTTCTGACTCTGATGTTTAGAGGTCCCATGCTTCTCCCCAAATTTATCACATGTTTGAACTCTCAGTCCAAACTTGCAGTGCACCTTCAAATCACTCCTGCAATCTTACTGTAATGTACACTTCTGCCTCACGGTCTCTGTTCTAATCTCTTTGCTGTGATTCCGTCAGTGAATTATGATCTATTATTTATTAATTTCTAACATATTACCTGACTGGAACTTATTAATTCTTTAAATACTCAGAATATTCTTGCCTGGGAAATGCCATGTCAAACAAGGTTTATTAATGTAGTTTGGAAAACTCTACCAACTCAGTACAAATCACTTCACACAGAAGACTATTCTCTTTATCCACCCTTGCTGGGAAGAAGCCAAAACTTGGCTTCATCGCTTCCTGGGAAGAACACAATCTGAGCTTTAAGGATTTTCTTTTGTCTGCTTGATTAATGTTTATAAATAAAATGAAAATAACAACATAGCTCCATGGGATGATGATATAAAAATAAAATCCAATTTCATAAAGTAAAGAATCTAGTACATAGGGTAACATCAGAGGGTACAAACTATTTTTCTTAGACTTAATGAGGAAGGCTGGGTATCTTCATTTTACAAAGAAATGGAAATTTAGAAAGTTAGACTTTGCTATATCATGTTAATTACACATGGTGGAAATGGCACCCTCACCTTCCAACTCCACAGCAAGTGATCATTAGTGCGTCTGACACCCAAGTCTTCACTAAAATCCCAAATAGCATATAGCTCTGTAGAAAGCTAGCAGAGTGCCTTTCAAGGGATTTCAGCTGAGGTCATTAGAGCTCCTTGAGAGTGGTTCTGCTAGACGCACCTTGTTCCACCTTTGCAATATGTAATGCCAAGGGATTTTAACAAGCTTCCTTTTAGTTTCATCTGCTTCAATTCTACATAAAAACATGAGAATGATGGAAACCTTGGCCAGTTTGTACGGACAAAAATGTTTGTTATTTAGTACTTAATGATTTATCACTGCATTTTATAAATGTTATTCAATTACTATACTAATTAATTTTTAAATTTCTTTCAAAAATTTTATTATGTGTTGGCATATGTATGTGAATACATGTGCCTCTGGAGTCCATTGAGGATGTGGGAACCATTGAGTCTGTAGTTCCAGGTACCTAGTTATGAACCACATAATGTGGGTGTTTGTAATTGAACTTGGGTCCTCTGGAAGATCAGTAAACATTCTTAACTGAGTCATCTCTTTGGCATCAATATTATATATATTTTTAAGAGACTGCTGTTGTGAAAAATATTAATATACCAGAAAAGCAAGTTAGTCTTATCCTTCCAAGTGAAATGTAGCAGATAGCTTCTTCTCAGAGAATTCTCAGAAGACAAAATATTCATGTTGACAACATTTCCATTCATAATGAACCTGTGACAATTGTTGAGAGGTAGGATAATAGTCACAGGTAGTCATTAGGGCCAGGTTTTAACATTAGTTCTCACATTAGTAAGTGGTGTACAAGCTGCTTTCATAATTAATACTAGAATTCACTTATGGCGACATCATAATTTCTAGAAGGATTTCGGCAATCAAATTAGAGACAGTGAAATAATTCTCCATTAGAAAAATCCAGACTTGTACTAGGATCAGATCTAAGACCCTTGACTTAATGAAATCAATAAACATTTAGTAGATGTCCAATATGTACTAGGAACTGGGGATTACAGAGCTAAGTAAGGTATTTTCTTTGACCTTGAAAAGTGCACCACATAATGGGACAGCACAATATATAAGCCATTAATTAGAAGAAAGCAGAATAAGTCTACAAGGAAGTTGGTTGTGATGGTCAAAACATGAAAGGACAGATGCTGTCAGATTCATTTCATGAGTAAAGATTAAGGGGTCTCCACACTTTGAGAGCTCAGATCGTGTGGATTTTTTTAAATTGTCATGTGGGTGCTGGGATTTGAACCTGAGTCCTCTGGAAGAACACCCAGTGCTCTTAACCACTGAGCCATCTCTCCAGCTCACGTGTGGATTTTTAAAAAGCCATTCTCACAATAGAAAACAGCCCATCCTTCAAACTTTCATGGCTTGATGATTGTATGATAAGCTTTCCCATGATAAATCTCCCAGTGAGTGAGTTACTATGTCAGTCTCTGAATATATACATATATATATATATGTATATGTATATATAAAATCACAGGTGAGCAATGATGGTAGGATGTAAGCCAGCACAGCACAACCACAGAAAGTGTTTCTAGGACTTAAGCGCACATGGATTTTCGACAGCATTCTTTACATATACCAGTCTTCTGTCAATATTACTGAACACTTTCCTTCACAAGAATGCCTGTGATGCAGAAGCAGAAGGACATCCACGACTCCAAGATGTCCCTTACACAGGGTCTTAAAGATGACTTCCCTACCTGACATCGGCAGGGTCTTCTGTGACAAGCACGTCCGTCTTGCAGGAGGCGAGGGGGTTGATGGACAGCTCCACAGGTGGAACCACAAAGCTTTTGCTGACCGGAAGCCAGAGGCCTTGGCCCAAGCTGAAAGTAGACCTGCAATGTAAGAGTTTCCATTGGGGAACTCCCCGGGAAGCAATGAGCAAAAAGAAAAAGGGGGCCCTCTTCCCCTCCCTTATAGGGCATTTTCTCATTTTTTTCCCACCCACCTTAATATGCTACCTTCACCAAACACAGTGCTGGCCAGTTTACTCCCACTGAGATGCTTGTCTCTTAAGTTTATTCATCATTTGGCCCTTGCATTGCTTTGGGTTGCCTGTGATCTTTGTATGAGTAATGAGTGAACTCCGTGGAGACGGACTATAGTAGCTCAGCTTTCCTGCGGTCCTGATACCCGGCAAGAGTTCCATAAAAAGTCAGAAGGAGCAGTCTGGCACAGAAGGTAAGATCACGGACTCTAAATCAGTTCAGGTCAACATCTTCCTCCTTGCTCTGCCACTGGCTCGCTGTGTGCCTTTATCTGCTTAAATATTGAACTTCTACACACAGTCTCATAGAGTAGCAGAGGTAAGAGGAAGAGAGTCTGATGATACAGATTAATTTTTTAAGCGGGTAGATTGAATAATCAGTAATGCCCCTTCTAGTTCAAGCACCTGAGTCTACAAGTCTAGAAGCCAGACAAACAGAAACCAAGATTCTCATAGCAACCGAGGCCATCATGCTTTATCAGTGTCAATGAGAGTTCTTTCATAGTCAGTGAGGCTCAGGATCAACACTCTAAGACGGCATAAGCACACGTTCTGTCTAACCTCTCTCCTTCCCCTAGCATAAAACCTCAACAAGACTGTCAACTCACCTGAGAATCTTTTCAGGGGCTTGCTCTCCTGTCACCAGATCATAGCCCCTCTCCAGTGTTGTATAAGGCCAAGGTCTGAGGAAATAATGGAGGAAATGGAAGAGAAGAAGACAAGACATAGTATTAGTCTGAAGCAAGCAGGAGTCATGCTGTTCAACAGAAGCTATACAAAGAGTCACATTCCATAGAAGTAATTGCTGGACATGACTTTCTACATTTTAAAGGAATTTTTCATGTCACAGGACTTAACACTTTTTTTTAATGCTAGCTCTCTTGTCCATTTCTGAGTTCACATTGAATATAATGCAATATCCTCCTCGGCACGCTTTATTGATTATTTCCTGTTTGGGTGGATGAGTAAAGTATCAGCGCTTGTTCTGTAGAAGCATCATCAATCATGTTCCTTTAGTACTGAAGTGTGAGTCAGCAGGAAAATAGTTCTTGCTTTTCATTTTGTGTGTGTGTGTGTGTGTGTGTGGTGTATGTGTGCACAATGTGTATATACAGTGTGTTTTATTTATATCTAAAACAATTTTTTATTTATTATTGGATCTCATATATTTTCGTAATATTCACCTCAGATAATCTCTAGTCCCACCTCCCCACTGACCCAGCTTCCCGTTCTTTTTTTTTTAACTCCCTTTTTCAAACCCATCAAGCTGGAGAGTGGCTGACCTACAAGGCTCTCACCCTTTAAGACAATTGCCAGAAGCTCTGAAATGCCGTTATCTCCTCAGTTACAGGTGGGACTTCATGCCCACTTCTCCCCATCCCTGCTGGGATGTCCTCTTGCTTGAGCTTGCTCAGGTCTTGTGCAAGCTTTCATCATCACTGTAAGCTCAGATGTGAATTTGTTCCTTTGTGTGTGGAAACTACCTTTTGCTTATAGTCATCAACCACCTCTGCTTCTTACAATCTTTCTAGCCCCTCTTCGGAAGTCTTTGGGAGAGGTTTGGTAAAGATGCTTCTGTTAGGGTTGAGCAATCTGCAGTCTCTTATTTCCTGCAGATTCTAGACCAGGAGGTGAATCGATGGGCGTGCTGCTTCCCAGCCCTGAGGCCCTGTGTCACTCACCCTTCGCTTTGGCCCCAGTCACTGCGAACACACAGATGTCTGTGAACTGGGTCAGGGGCGTAACCTTCATGACAACTGCACTCCCCTGTAAGCAAAAGGAAACAAGTTTTGTGATGATACAATGCCTGTACACATATGATATTTCATGGTTGTTTATTTTCCTGAAAATTTTGGTAAGGAGTTGTGAAAAAGGAGTGCAGGACCCACCAACTACTGTGGGTAACACAGAGTTTATGCATATGTCTATTTGTTTCTACAGCCACTCATCTTCCATCCAGTACATCTTGGATACATTTAACCAAGCTCTCAGCTCTACACCAGAGACACAAAGCTAAAAGGTGTAACTCAGTGGTTAATGGTGTCCACAAGTTGACAAAACAAACAGGAAGTAGCTAGATAGTGGAGGGCCTACTTTCTAACAAAAAAATGTGTTTATATATATATTGATATATGCACATACTTATATGCATATATAAATAATTGTTTATATATTATCATATTATATATACATAAATATAGATTATACAAGCTTAACAGAAAATTAAATGTTTTCCAGTGGAATGAGCCAGCCTTGTCCAGCAACACATAAACCCTTGGTCAGATACCAGCTCCTTCAAGAAATTTTTGATTACCTCTTTTGGAAAAGATGTTCTGCCTGCAGCTTGCCTCTTTTTTTTTTTTTTTTTTTTTTTGGTTTGTTCATCTACCTCTCTTCACCTCTTCCCTGCTATCTCTTCTTATTCTCTCTCTCTGCTCCTGTCTTGTTCTTTATCTCCTGTGTGCTTTCTTCCTTGTATGTGTCTACCCATTCCTCTGCCCATGTCTTTTCTTCACTGTTCATGTCTGTGTGAAGCTGCAAGAGTGGCTCCTAGCCGTCCTCACTGTAAGTATCTCCTCCCCCGTTGGCTGAGTTCATTTCAGCATGCCTTGTCTGTCTATTGCCAAAGTTCAGAATTCTATAATGGTTTTCAGAAGGTTCCTTATGATAACGTCTCAGTGTATTTCTGAAGGTGTGAAGTTTTAAAGTTAAATTAGTTATTTTCTACCAAAGGTATACTTGCAAAATGTTGACAGATGTTTCTCTAAAAATAGATTCTATAAAAAACAAATTTAGGGGATGCAGTGCTCCCAGTGGAGTGATTCTCCATGGGGATGATACACACAGCTTCCCCAAAACTTTATTTTAAGAAACTTGCATGGATGGGGCTTGAGCTTAGAGCACTTGCTTTAAGTTCCATCACCAATACTCATACTGAAAAAAAAAAGAGGACAATGTTGGTGGTCTGACACTGTGCACAATCATCATTCTCTGAAATGGACAACTTGTGTGGAAACTACCTGGCTTAGCCTGCTGCTTAGAAGAGAGTGAGCCTTCGCACTCAATGATATGAACCCAGGGATATTTGATTAGTTTCCTGGCTATTGATGTTTGAGTGCATTCATTCTCATCTTTTGGTGAATCATGGCAGTTCTAGTTGGCCTGACTAAAACTTCTCACAACATGGTGAGAGATATGTATTATTCAACATGGAAGATTTAAAGACTTCTCAGTTTTAGTCTTTAATATTTCTTGTATTTCATTTTGAATCTCTTTAAAAGTTATAAAAAAGAGAGAATAGGATAGACACCCAGAAGTCACATTCTGGAGTTGAGGACACTGTTAAGAGTCCACATATCAACTCAGTTGCCCAACCAGATTTATTTCAAGCTTACCTCAAGAAAAACAAGGCCTCCTGCCATCCTTGTTACACTGAAAAGGATATGTGCCTGAGTCAATATGCTACCAAGCTTAAAGTATTTGAAATAGGAATAGTGAATCAGGTTTTAATGCATTTATTTGTTGTTTGTATGCATGTACACACATATGAGAGCTTCAGTTATGCCATGGCACACATGTGGAGGTCTAGGAATCAGCCAGTTCTTTTGTTCTACTATGAGAGCTCAGGGTATTGAAATCCAGTCATCATGGTTGGAGGTAACCATCTATACACTCACTATACATCTTATGAATTAATGCTTTCCCAACTGTGTAAACAAAGCAAAGGCCATATAAACAAGAACAGTAGGGAACAGATTGTGAAAGTATCCCCAGTACTCCTTGTTTCAAGATGTTTTTATTTATCCAGTAAGCCTCTTGTTTTCAACATGGAACCGTGAATGTTATGCATTTGACCTCCCATAAAGTATTCTGAGAGAAACAGACAAACCTTTAACTTATGGTATGTATTAGAACTGGTATCTTATTCTTTGTGTGGCCAGCACCTTTCAAGTGTTTGACAAATAACCCAGGCTTCATAAATATTGGTCAAATGAAATGAGAGTGAGAGGGTATAAGGAATCAGAGAATGGGTCATGAGTAGCATTTGAAATATTCCAAAGAATGTTGAAATACAGATGAGGCAACAGAATCTACCATTCCCCTCTCCTGAGCAAGTGGTAAATCATCAGGATGCCTTCTTTCAGTTGGTAAGGCTTTCTGTAAGCCTTCCTCCACCATCATGCCTGGGGTGGTCCACTGAGTGGGTGTGCTGTATGTGTGATCTAATGAACTGGTTCTTGCAGGAGGAAAGGGAAATTGACTCAAGAGACTGAGAGCCTTGAGTTTGGATAGCAGTAATTTGCCACTGGGGGAGGGGCCGCACTTGCTAATGATGCGTTAAAATGCAACAGCCCCTTCATGAAATATTCACCACTTTAAACGTGTCTAATATCAAAGATTAAAAGTCCTGAGATTTGTCCTCGAGACTCCCAGAAATGATTTATGATCTGCCAAAAGACACAGACCTCGTGATTCATAAATCGAGAGGTAAAATAGTTACTCCCAACAAATGGAAGGTAAGTCAGGCTACAGTGAGCAAGGAGAAAGCTCCTTTGGTTTCTATCTAGCCTACCAGTGATTTTCCAGGAAAGGGCACAGCCATTCACCTGTCCCATGTCTTTTTGGTATTATCTGTTCCAATAAAGGGCACTGTTATATCTTTCTCTTTCTTCCTTGTGTGCTTACTGAACAACTTTTCCTTGACTCAGATAATTAATTACTGTCACTCATTATACAACAAATATGTACTTTGCAAATGAGAAGGAGCCACCCTAGGGCTCCCATAGGAGCCTATGGAAGTAGGCAGAAGCAAAGCCCACAGGGCTGGAATCAGGCCCACAAACCAGGTTTCAGTGCTCACCCTCTTCCTGTCTAGTTGTGTGACTAGGGAGGCAGGGATGGTGAGAATCTCTTTTTCTCTGTTTTCTCATGTATACACTGGGATTGAAATGACAGTGGTGTAACTATCTCAATGCAAATGAAGGCAGTGAAGAGTAGAGGCTGCAGCTCAGTCACCTTAGATCACAATAAATAGACTAGTAGCTGGTTCAGGGCAGGTAACTGACTTACTGAATTAATGAACAGAGCAAAAGAAGGAAAGAACCAAGGAAAAAAGGAAGGAAGAAAGAAAGGAAATAAGGAAGGCAGGGCAGACTAATGGACATATAAAATATAACACTCATCAATTCCAGCTGATTTTATTTAGAGTAATGATGGAAAACCCTCCCAGTTATGACAGGTGTTTGCCAGCAAAGCAGTCATTGTGAACATGAGCTGAGGAAATGCCCACAATAGAATTCTATTACACATCTGAGCAGAAAAGGCCCTTAAACATCATTTAGTTCAAATCCTTCAACCTTCATTTTTTCCAGAAGAGGAAGCTAAGGTTCAGAAAGTAAAGAGATTTGTCAAATCGCTGGACTAGTTTCTGGGGTTGGCAAGGTTAGGACCAAAGGCATGTGGCTACCAGAACCAGCAGAGCTCTTTAGGTGGCATTGGCAGTATAATTCTTTAGTGGACATTGAAGCCACCGTAAGGGAACTTTTACCCTTTTTACTCCTCTGACACTTCTGAGTTTCCTGTAATGAGGATATTAGTTTTCCAAGCAGGTATCATAGAAAAGATAAAATGAATTTGAAATATCCTTAAGCACATTAAAAACACACATTTTTGTATGTGGTTAATAACGCAGATCTAAAAAATGTTTAATCTCTTCATTAAAGTGGTTCCCATAAGGGAATTCAATTAAGCAAATTTCCATCATGCTAGTTACTAAACTTGGTATTTTAGCTACAGATGAGCCACGTTGGTTTTAAAATATTTACTCTCCTTATCTCTTAAGTCCTATTTATCCCGTTCTCAATTTTATTTTGCACACATTCTGTCTTCATAAACTCTTATACAAAAACAACAGAACCCTGCTGTTCATGAGCAAACCAGACTTCTCTTTATCAGAAGCACTTCAAAGTGAATAGTGCTCTTCCGTTAATTACATATGACCAATAGGCTGGTGAAGCAGTGGGCCTTGCAAACTCCTTGTTCTTGATTCAGATTCTGCATTCGCTACAAAAATGGTATAAACAGGTCAAGTTGTTTCTCTGGGATCCTCTCCTTACATACAATGAGACTGGGACCAGGTACATGCAGGAAATGTCAAGAGATATACTGTAAATCCTTAGCACAGTCTTGGGCACACTTCTTGTTCTGCTGAAACTATTACATAGTCTTGAGTTCCTACCACTCCTAGATGCAAAAGGTCCATTAGAATTCTTGTTTTGGTAGAAGGAAAAAGGCACTAAGGACAAAGTATGGCCTTGCAAAGTCAAAGATGTGGGGTTTTGTCTTGTTTTTAATCTATAGGGTTTGGGCATGTCACAAGAGAATTCCCATGATTCTTCTCCATCTTTCCAGAATCCTTGGTGCCTACCATCTTCTTCATCTATGGCATCTGCTGTTAAAGGAGAGACACACAGATTCAGGGCATAGGTGGAAGGCTGATCTGCAGCCTTGAGGAAGAACCTAGTCTTTTTGCTCAGTCTAGCATTCTGGCTCCCACCCTCCCTCCCTGACATCCTCTTATGATTCCATTTTCACTTGCTTCCGGCTCAGTCATCACTTATCATCACAGGCCAGGGATGCCGCTTACTGTTCACTTTCCTATTCACGCTCTGTGTCCCTGTTGCTTGGACAGACGGCTCCCTGATCCTTTGGAGCACTGAACATGACATGCTTCTCTTATTATGACTGCGATGGGCCACTATTGCTTT